TAGCACATTCGTGAACCAAGGTCTTCTTCCACTCGAACATCAAACGAAGGCCAAATTTGCCCTTAAGAGCATGTTATTGACGGCGGGTGAACGACCAGATAAACGCGCTAAAGTACTGCAGATGCTATGCGAACTGGTAACAATATGATCATGACTTCGCCACCAGGATAGCATACCTACTCGCCGTCCTGAAAGGATTGGGGTCATCGCAACAGTTTGGCTGACAAAACAAACTCCGCAAGACTGTAGACACAATGCCTGCACAGCACTGTGCTAATAATTAATTGAGATGCGCTCCTGCAATTTGCGCGATGTCCCGTTCTGTTTGAGAGTAGTGATCAGCACGAGGAATGAACAAGGGAAAGAACCAAAATCCGCGTCTCACACCTCGGTGTCGCACGGTGTCCTACGTAGATGATATCTACGACAGGGGGGGCTGTTGTATAGGACATATTACTAGATCAAGCGGATCTCTCCTCCTTCCTGCCTTCACTCACTCCTTGCTCACTCCTCTATGTACGCCGCAGGAATTGCCCAGGAGGCTAGAATGCTCGGAGGCAAGGACTGCTTAATCCCCGTCCGTCCATCGGCTGCCCATTCCTTACCAGGCTGCGCCAGAGCCCTCTGCCCAAGCGGGGCGTACGCCGGCCTCACGATCACCTTTGCACCCCAGACACCGCTCTTCGCTTCCTCTGGACGGCACCGTGTAGCTCCACACGGAGATCAGGCTAATTCCTGATGTCCGCGCGTTATTTTGGCTGCTCAGAATCGTACGATCTGTATTTGTCGACGTCCGGCGTCAAATATTATTCCTGCGTTCTCTGTGCATTCTCGATATTCTCCGTAAGCCTCCCCGGCGTCCATCTTAGCAGAAAATCCTCAAGCATTCTCCTATTCATGGTCGTGAAGTGTTCGCATCGTCTTGGCATCGTCTAACTATGTTTCACCGGCGGCCCCCCGCTGCTAATTCTGTGGTCAACTCCGGTTCTTCCTGTTCTTCGCTGCCCCAATCCCTTACATCCATCTCAAACTCAACTGGTAATATAATTAATCGCATCTCCTTCTCAGTCTACGGCAGAAGTCTGCAAGATCGTTCTGGCCTTCTCTGCAATCATATTCCGAAGTCTTATTCTCGACCTCAACGCCACGCTCCACGCCGAATGCCCGTACGCACCGATTTCAACGCGGACGAACATCCCTGCTACTTGGCACTGTGTTTACTCTCGGTTAAATCACTGTGGGTCGCTCGTGTCAATCGATATCGTTTCTGGTCTTTCTGCTTCCCTCTCTCGTGGCAGCTAGTCGAACGACGTCCGCGGTCCTTTATCGACATTCTAGGTCGTTTTATAGTGTCACCGCCAGTCAAGAAGGTTTCTTCGACCCTCTAGGCCGTGCGCCTGGTCTTAGTCCGCTTCCCTGTGTGCCATTTCCTTTCTTCATAGACCAATCAGGAAGCTTCAACTATAGATCAACTAGAGGCGTGCATCATGTCCGTATTTCAACCCTTGTTTCAACCACTCAGTTGATTTCGAGTGACTCGTGTGTTATTTCATTCCAGAGAGTCGCGTGAACGCTGACCAGAAATGATTCTCCAACTACCGGGCGGGTTTTGCGTAAGTGCCTTGTGTTCTTCCATTATTCGGACCAGGCGGCTTGTAAAGAGAGTATAACTTCACCGCGTCAGTGTCTTATATCTTTGCCCTCACAGACTGATCAAAAAGGCCGAGGTATTGGAGCCAGGCGGACGCGGGGAGTCGAACCCCGGCTACTGCTTCAACTGTTTGCCAAGACCCGCTTATAAAGTGCAGCTGTGCCCGTGCACAACGTCCGCGTTTCAACTACCGAGTTCCCTTGGAGTGAGTGGGTTGGGTTTTGCGTTATTGGGTCAGGGCTGATGGATACCTATGTACGTGACTCCCGGTGAGTGCTTTACATCTCGGCTCATGAAGTCAAAAAAGCTCAAGTATCGAATACTCAGACGGGTGCGGGGAATCGAACCCCGCTGACTGCTCCAACTACTCGTATGGGAAATACTGCACACAGCGCAGCCGCGCCCCGTGCACAACTTACGCATTCCAGATACCGAGTTCAGTCTGAGTGAGTGGGTTAGATTTTTTTTTCGCTTGTGGGTTGTGCGTCCAGTGCTCACGAAAAAGATGCCTTCAAATCTCCAGATCGCGACTGCGGGCATACCTCGAGATGGCATGTCTGTTCGAACAACTAGACCAAAAAGGAAATGAAGCGGTGACCCACGCGGACGCAGGGAGTCGAACCCAGACCAACTGTTATACACAGATGTTCCAGCGCTCAACAAACTGCAGCAGTGTACCCCGCACGACGTTCGCGTTCTACCTACCCGTTTGATTCCGAGTGAGTGGGTCCTTTAGGGCTAACGGAAAATAGTTTCAAAAGTCTGTCGCCACGTGGAGATTCAAATATTCAAACCTCAACGCGGATAGTCAACCTCAACGAATGACTTCAACTGTTTCGTAACAACCCCCAGACCGCAGCAATTTCCCGTGCAAGACATCCGCGTTCCAGGTGACCGTGTAGTTTTCGGTCAGTGCGCTAGATTCTGCGTCACTGTATTAGGCTAACGCTGACGAATGATAATGAGTTGGACTACGACGGCCACGTTGACGATCGACATCAATGCAGATTTCTGAATTCAGAGCATCGTGAGACTGTGCCTGGCGAGAAGTTCAATTTTGCTGCGTGCGCGGCTCTACATACACGCGCCATAGTCGGAAACACCACGTTGGGACGATTATTCTAAAAGTGACGAGGGACGAGGGACGAGAGGCGGGATAATGAGCACCCGGGCTATTCACGGTTCACCGAACACCGTTAAACTGATCTCAACTAATGGTGCGCTGTCAGCATCGGTGAGCAGGAAAAAATTGAAAGGAGACGTACACGAACGGGGTGCGGTGGGACCGAGGTGGACGGGACATCGTGCAGCTTCAAGATAATCTGGGGCAATCGTTATTATATCAATAGCGCAAGGCGGAAAGAGAATACAAGTACATACTTCGACTTTCGCACCATTCTGCAGACGATGGAGTCCTGGCGTTGGGAGTAGAGTCGCAAAGATTACGGTACCGGATTACGAGCGCGCAGCTGCGCGGTGGCTGAACAACCGAGGAAAAGTATTCGGCGGGTATAGTTGTCCGAGCTTTGGGTTTGATTTCCCTGAACGGTGAACTGTGGATCCTGCGTATAAAGACTAGGTAAATAATTTGGGAGAATCAAGCGGCACAGAAGGAGCTCACCATCGGGCAGATTCTCTACGTCTCTGGGCGGATTCACTCGCGCGCGTTGGTGCGCTCCTTCTGGGTGGGAAGTCAGTTAACTGCCGGAACATTAAGGGAGTACGAAAAGTCGGACGAGGTAAAAACCAAGTCCGGCAACGCTTCAGGAAGATATACAACAGGTGGAAGGAGGGGATGGTGTACAAAAATGCCGGTAACCGGTAGTACAGAACGTTCTGTGCCAACGGAAACCAGGGAGGAAAGGAAATTTTAGATGGAGGAAAAGACGCGAAGAAAAAAAGATACGCACCCTCTTCCTTCTGGAGACATTGCGGCTCGGTCGGGTACCAGCGTCCGCAGTACCTCCAGCCGGCCTCACATCTAGCGACGTCCGACAGCAGCATGGGCACGGTGCCGTGTACGTCTCCATCGGCAGCGAGACGGAGGGGCACAACGCGGCAAGCAGCAGCATCAATGGGTGGGCGGCGCGGCCTCATCCAGAACGCAGAGCGAGGATGGCGTCAACGCCACGGTGACCGTGGCGTTGAGGCTGAGGATTCTCCAGCGCGTGGGGAAGTGGCAGGGGACGCGCGGCGCGGGGCAGGTGAGAGCGGTACGCAGGGCGCAGAGTTTCGGGCACGTAGCGATGGCGGCGCGGAGCATTGTGTGGAGCAATTTAGTAGAATGTCCGTATATGGCAATGGGTTCTGCAGGACGACGGGCATGACCCGGAGATTGGGAAGGGAACTAAAGGAAATCCAAGACAGAGGAAGATAGCCACCGTTGTCGTGCGAGTCACCCATAACGACGAGGGTCCTTGCTATGATACTCCCAGTACGTTGGCCGCAAGCGGGAGGATGAAGGGGAGGGACAAGTACATGCGTCCAGGAGCTTGAGCGCTACAGGAGTGCGGCCGCTTCAGCGCGCTGCCTCTCTGCAGTCAATACATTGCAAATGGACACTGGAAGGAATGAAATGCTCACCCGGCGTAATACACGTGCCGCATGAGCGATGTGAACATGTTTGGGCCGCCAAAAGACGTCTCTGTATGAGGTTGTAGACGCGGTGAAGGCTTCGTAGACGTGCAGTATCCCTCAATCGTCTTTCTTTCGGCCACAAATCCCAGCGTCGTTTTTCATAGTTTCACTTGTAGGATGAAATCGAATGTCCATGAAACTAGGGGCACTAAGAGGGTCCTAGGGGTCTTGTACGCGATCGAAAAGCGAAGTCGAAACTGCAGAAGGAGCGTCGGAGAGGACCGGTGGTGAGATGGTGGTTGTCAGAAGGAAGAAGCGCTGTGGCAGTGCTGCCGGATCAAATTTGATGTCGCCGCTTTCTTCTTGCCACCACCTTCGACAACGGGCTCTCGAGCAACACCCGCTGGAACCTCATGAAACCTGCGAGATCCGTACCAACCAGCAAGACATGTACATTGAATCCGGCTGGCAACTCTGGCTACCCGTTCAACGCTTCCATACTTCGTCGATTATGCAATTTTGTTCCAGTCGAGTTGCGACGCGCTATGCTTTCCTGAAGGTTCTTGCAGGTTCCTTCCAGGGACACTGTAGCATCAGGTATGCATCCCCTAAATTTAGTTAGTGTTGCGCGACTGAGGCGGAATAACCCGGTTCGATTCCGGGCGGCTCTTCTTCTGATGGAATATGGGTTTTTTTTCCCTACAGACCAGTCTGGCTCCAGCTCTTCACATATCCTCTTGCACGCTTGATGCTCACTCAACTTTGAAAACAAGACCCCGTCGCGCATGGTATGCATCCGCTCCCATTGACCTTGTTGGCCGGTTTAATTCATGCGGAGGACCCCGGTTCGACTCCGGGCGGGGTTATGGAGGCTTGATACGAAGGGCTTTTTCTTTTCAAGAATACAGCTGAACTTGTACTGTAGGTGTTCTCGTGCTCAAGCACACTTCTTGACGCCGGTGGAAAATCACGCCTGACTCTTGGAAGTTGGTCAGTCCGATGTGAGTACATGCTGGACTCGACGCGTACGGGGTCCTCTTCTGTGCAACTCCATGTTCCCTCGTTCTCCAGGTATAAGACCCGTCGCATGTGGTATGCTTCTGCAGGATTTGGATACTAAGCATCGAACATTTATTCACGCGGACTGAGCCGGTTCGATTCCGGGCGGGTCTTTAAATCCCTGCGGTACGCAGCTCTTGTCCCTCTGCCGGTGTGGGTTTCAAGTCACGTTCGCAGTTGCTCCGTTGACGGGTTCGGTCAAAATTCCAGCGGTTCGGGCTTCTCGTTGACTTACTTTATTGCAAACTTGTGGCAACGAATTCCTCGCGTCACCCGTCGCGTCCGATAGGTATGTATTCGCCTATACTGAACGGTCTACTCTTCAACCGCTGAGCTTCTAGGCATTCTTCTGAACCTCCAAACCTTTCCTGCCGTTGGCCGCCGGGTTTTGGTTCGTTCATTGTGGTTCGTTCGCTGTAAGTACGTACATTGATGCACATCAATTCATTCCCCGTCTCAACCCATGCTCACTCAGCCTACAGGAACAAGACTCTTTGGTATGTGGCCATGCCCCTCCGTGTGCATCGCCGGCGAGCTTCACGGGGAAGGACCCGGTTCGAATCCGAGTGCGTTCTGGAATCTTCAGGTATGCAGTTTATTTCTACGGGACAGAGGGGGTAGCCCGCTCACTAGATGCCGGTAGACAAATTGTGAATTCTTGACGATGCAGCGAAACTTCTAGGTATTGTTGTTCAACTAAAGAAAATCAGCGGCGTTGCAGAAAACCCATGCTTGGGCTTTGGTTTCTACGTTGGATGTGAGTACGATGCCGGACTCGATGGGCATGAGCTCATTTTTGTCTGACTTCATCCTCGGTTATCCACAGGAATTAGACCCCGTCGCACATGTTCCCGTTCAACTGCTTTGCGCGATCTACACGAAGGAACCCGGTTCGATTCAAACCGACTTGGTCGTAGCTTCGGACGAACATCTGGGGTTCAATCTTTGTGTAGTGGGGTTCGCACTGTAGCGCAGCGCCGCAGAGTCCAGGAAGACTCCTTCCCAATGAAGCGACGGGCTTTAAGATAGAATCAGAACGTGGGTCCATTCGAATTAAACCAATCGCAACAATGTGGGTCCAATTCAGATGGTTGCCTCCTGTTTTAAACGCCGATACGCTCCACCAAAGGTCAGCTGTTCGGCAAGTAGTCCGCTCGCTCCTTGCCAATGAAGCGCCGGGGATGTGGGCTCTAGGATAGTCACGAATCAGAACGTGGGTCCATTTCGAATTAAACCAGTCATAACAATGTGGGTCCAATTCAGATGGTTGCTTCCTGTTTCAAAGGCCGATACGCTCCACCTCAGTTCAGAAAGGTCAGATCAGCTCTTCGGCAAGTAGTCCGCTCGATCGTTAATTGCGTAGCGTGCTGGGGAATGCCGGGTACTGCGAAGAGAAGCAGTAGTTATCAATCCCATTGTAGAGTCGGGAAGCAGTACAGAACGAGTTGTTTTATACCGCTTCCTCGTCGGCGAGCCTCGTTTCCTTCGCAAACCTGTTTTCCATGTCGTCTACCTGCTCAACCTGACGTCCAATAACGATGCGCCGCATGGGAATGCTCCCAATTGTTTGAACATTCGACACCTCGATTTGGGTCGCCATGTTGGCGATTTTCTTCTGAGAGCGCAAGTTGATTCGGATAGAAATTAAATTGAAAGTCAGGCCCTGGATACGGCGGATGAGGCTTGAAATATATTGTGACTCCTGAACAAGGCCTTACCGCGATAGGCGTAACGGTTTCGAGGATGATGTACTGCACGTTGTAGTTGACGGCGTATCTGGCCAAGAGGAGAATTTCAACCAGCAGATAAAGCGCCGCGCTTTCTATCAGAATGCGCATGGATATAAACACCGATCCAGAATACAACAAAGAAGCCGCCTGGACTAGTATCAGTGCTGCACAACGAACCAAATATTTGAGACCCACCATAACACATACCTCCAGCCAGGCCGCGACCAAGAAAGTCTTGTCAAGGGGGTACTGGTCTAAAGCCATGGCAAATAAAATGGGAGTTTCCGCTGATTATATACGTGACCACGCCGTTATTGCCATGATTGTGGGCGAGAAACTATTGGTACTCCGGCGGAATTCGCCAACGGCTGCATCACGGTTGTCGGCTCTTGCCGCATGCTGCCGTCACCACGGACGAGTCTTCCACGTTGGCAAGTGGGTTGCATTCTGATTGGCGGCGATGCTTCGCGGGCATCTAGAGTGAGTTGAAGTAAAAGTGAAACGCGAGGGGATATCGCGGAATAAATACTCAGCAGTTCCGCATTTGTGCCGACTCTGTTGTGAAAGAACAAGTTGCCGGATTCGCTATTCGAACGACCATGAAGGTCCAGGGACTTCATAAGCTAGAGCACGAAAACTCACCTTGGGAACCGGGGTTGATTCTCCACCACCGACGCCGCAGTTTAGCGATCAACAACATAACGGCTGTGGGTGCCCGGGGGTGCCCGGTGCCGCCTTTAACCCTAGCCCGAGTGTCCAGACCTAGCCGGGTCGGACAGGGCATTTCAGCGGCTATCCCCATGGTGGCTTACCGCGTGGATCAGTTCAGGGTCGCAGATTTGCTGGGTCCGGAAACGACGCTGCGACTCACCGACGGGGATGCAGCTCGAACAATTGTGGGCGTTGTTTACTTGCAATGTGAATTAGTTCGACGGACAGACGCGCTGTTGCACCCTAGGCTGCAACTGAGAGTCGGAGGGTGAGTGAAGGTTGCTCGCGCGGAGGTGGCAGCCCATCCCGACAGGAATGGGGATACGGGACCTACAAGGACCTCCAGGTGGCGCAGTTGTGGCGTAGAACAGGAAGCAGAAGATTTTAGCCGGTGACGGAGGTTTTCTTCTCGGAGTCTTTGGCCCCGTCCCTGACTTTGATCCACAGGAGATACCGCGGTACCTAAACATATAATCCGCACGGAGCGGATAGCGCGCTTGGATTACTTGGAGCATTATCCTAGAAATGGGGTGAGTACCATTGCGAGACTGAAATCGGTGGTCTACCGGAATCCAAATCCCGAAAAAAAAAGTGTATGGTGAATTCAAGACCGTAGATGGGGCGAGAGTGAACTCGCAGTGACGCTGACCATTGGCGTGCCGTAAAAATAACATATCCCTGGTTGTTCGAAAGGCATGATGTGGATCGGAAGAGAAAAAGTCGACCTAACGTTGAATCGAACGATGCCTGACGGTGCGAAAGTTGAAACCGAGAAGCGCTGAGGAAGATGACCAAACCGGGGTAAACGCGCTGCTGGACTGGTCGCCGCAGATTTCCGGAGACACGGACCATGCCCGACAATTTTGAGCGGGTTTCCAAGGTCGTTTGAGACTTGAACGCAAGGCTACAAATTTGCTAGTATCTCGTGAGCCGGCTTGAAATCCAGGGAAGCGGCAGGCAGTATGCCGAGGTAGTGAACGCCCAAAATCTAGGACCAAAGGAAGCCACTGCCGTGTAAATGATGGTGAAGGGTTCACCAATTAGTATTATTAGTATAAGCAGCGAAACGACAGCGGCCATTAATGCGAGTCTTAATACTTCTCCGCGCGCGCACTTTCGGACAACGCCACTTGCACTGCCTTTGTTCCGCCGAAGGCTCCGCGCGCACGGACACCTGCAGCGGATGCCACCTTCCAGCCGACGGTGACCCAATGCTGGAGAGATACGTTGAGGGGCTGATTTAATAGCAAGGGCTGGCTGAGATGGTGGAACGCCCAATGTGTTGAGACCGCCAGAGAACGCCTCCGAGTTAGATTGTGTATGTATCCATTGAGGTTTTCGATTCCGGCCAGGACGCCGGGCTAGATTGAAGACTCCGAGGGAGATTTGTCGAAGAGCTAGGCAAGAACCTCTATGCGGGCTGCTGCCGAAGAACCAAACGTCGAGTTGGGGCCGAGACAAGTTGTTCCGGAGGATGAAGCACTCAGATCGTTAGTATCCGCGTCAAAAGCTCCAAGAGAGAACGCGCAGCCAAAGAGCAAGATAATTATTCCACGTCGTGTCGGCGCGCCAGATTTCACAGATTTCGGCCGTCGAGGCGTCACAAAGGGCGGGGGAGTCGGCCGAGTGTCGTTGGATCGGTTCAAACTACTTTGAATGACGATGTGCGGGCATTCCGTCTGGTTTTGAAGCTGGGTTCTGAGGACGGTGGTGGTGGGAAGAAAGAAGGAAGTCGGGCCGTTTGATCCGAACAAACTCAGTGTTCGCCTAAAGGGTAAAGGCCTTTAGCGCTAAAGGCCTTTAGGAGGCCTTTATAAAGGCCTTTAAGATTTTTGCCCGAAAAATTGCCCTTTATAAAGGCCTTTAGCTGTCATGTCATCACCATTAGTCAGGCTGGTTTTGAACGTCAAAAGAGGTGGAGACAACATCTAACACATCTAACAAGTCCCTGAGGGCACCAATTTGCCCCCAATAGTCTCCCTGCGTGAGAAAAACAAATGATTTAGTGGGCTGGGACCCGGCTGTAAGCGATCATAGGCAATTTGACGGCAACGGTTGAGGAGGAGGAGATATTGACGCAACTGAGGACAAAATCCAGATGGCAGAGTGTTGAGATAGATTCTAGGACAATTCTCGTGCTTAAAGGTAGTACTTCACTGGCGTGAGCGCAAATAAAATTAACAGTGTTGGACCGCGTGGGAAATTGATCAAAGGCCTTTAGTTGCCCTTTAGCTAAAGGCCTTTACCCTTTAAAAGGCCTTTAGAAATCTCAGACCCCGATTAAAGGCCTTTAGGGCGAACACTGAACAAACTCCCCTTGCTTCTTCCCACCCGGAGTCCCGGACAGGCTGAGGTCCACAGCGCAC